GGAAAAAGGTAAGTTTTTACCCCTTTCCAGAGCCGGGCAGGAGGGGGACCCTGAGGGTGGGGGCACCCTCAGTGCACTATAGTGCCAGGAAAATGAGTATGTTTTCCTGGCACTATAGTGGTCCTTTAAAGAGAATGGGTCAATGTACAGATCCCTGAGGTACCCCACTGCTGACAATACCATACTTTGAATATAATCCATTGACCATAACCCTCTGTTGCTTGTCACTCAGCCACTGCCTTACCCATTCAACAATAATGGAATCCAGACTTAAAGACTGCAGTTTATTGATAAGCATTCTATGTGCAACATGGTCAAAAGCCTTACTGAAATATAAATTAGCAATGTCTACTGCACCACATTGATCTATTATTTTAGTTACTCAATCAAAAACATCAATACGATTAGTTTGGCATGATCTCCCTGAAGTAAGCCCATGTTGTCTTTCATCTTAAAATCCATGTGATTTTAGATGTTCAAAAAATCTATCCTTTAACAGGGTTTCCATTACTTTCCCCACTACTGACGTAAGACTTACTGAACTATAGTTGCCCACCTCCTCCCTACTACCTTTCTTCTGAATGGGCACAACATTTGCTAACTTCCAATCTTCTGGGACTACTCCTGTTAACAATGATTGGTTAAATAAATCTGTTAATGGTTTTGCTAGTACACCACTAAGCTCTTTTAATAACTTAAGGTGTATTCCATCATGCCCCATTGACTTATTTGTCTTTATTTTTGACAGTTGAAATAGAACCTCTTCCTCTGTAAACTCACATGTAACAAATTACCCATTTCTCCTTTTTCCTAACTAAGGCCCATTTCCTTCATTTTCATCTGTAAATACTGAACAAAAATATTCATTGAGGCAGTCAGCTAAGCCTTTATCCTCTTCTACATATCTTCCTTCTTTTGTTTTTAATCTAACTAATCCTTGGTTTACTTTCCTTTTCTCATTTATGTATCTACAACATGCTTTGCCCCCCCCCCTTTTTTTTTTTTTTTGTTTTTTTTTGTTTTTTTTTACTGACTGTGCTATTTTCTCTTCTCTGTGTGATTTGGAAGCTCCTATAACTTGTTTAGCCTCTTTTTGTCTATCTTCCTCACTCTTTTTTTTATAATTACTAAATGCTAACTTTTTTTTAAATTTTTTACTATTTTGGCAACCTATGCAGACTACCACAGTGGTTTCTTCAATTTTTTTGCTTTTACTGACAAGCCTAATGCAATTTTCTGTTGCCTTCAGCAGTGCAACTTTTAAATAATCCCATTTCTCTTGTACTCCATTTAAACTGCTCCAGTCTGATAATGACTCCTTTACACATATTCTAATTTTAGAAAAGTCTGTTTTTCTAAAGTCTAAAACTTTTGTTTTTGTGTAGCGTGACTCAGTCACTGTTCTTATATTAACCCACACTGTCTGATGATCACTGGATCCTAAAATTTCACCTACAGTAATATCTGATACCAAATCTTAATTTGTTAACACTAAGTCTAGTATGGCCTCCTTATGAGTTGGCTCCTCAACGACTTGTTTTAGAGATAATCCCAGTATTGAGTTTAGAATATGTGTGCTCCTGGCACAAGCAGCTATTTTGGTTTTCCACTTCACATAAGGAAGATTAAAGTCACCCATGATGATAACTTCCCCCTTCATTGTCATTTTAGCTATTTCCTCAACTAGTGTATTATCTAACTCTTCTATTTGTCCTGGGGGCCTATAAATCACACCTACACAAGTTACTTTGTGATTAACAAATTCCAGCGTAACCCAAACAAACTCTATGTTCGCCTCAATAACTTTTATTAGGTTAGATTTTATGCTATCATTCACACACAGGGCCCCTGTCTTTTCTATATAAAGAGTACCCTGGTATTGCTATGTCCCAGTCATTTTTCTCATTATACCATGTCTCAGTAACAGAGACTAAATCTACACTATCAGTTATCAGTTGCCATTATTGCCACAAGTTCATGGATCTTGTTCCCTAAACTGCGAGCATTTGTAGACGTGACTCTAAACTTATCATTTTTTAACACACTTGCTACAGGCACCTTCTGTCCTTGTTTTGGGGGACAATTGGATTGATGTTTTATCACCCTTTTCCCACCCTCTGCCCCCCCCCTCATAGTTTAAATGCATCCTAGCAAAACCTCTGAACTGCTCACTGAGAACATTTGTTCCCTTTTGAGAAAGATGCAAACCATCTTTTTTGTACAGTTTATTTCAATTCCAGACAGAGCTACCATGAGAAATTAAGCCAAATCCTTGCTCCCGACACCATTCACCAAGCCACAAGTTAAAGTCCCTAATATGCATCCGCCTGTCGTTCTGAGTGTTTTGTGAAGGCAGAAAATGACAGTGTGGAAGTAACCTGCCATATATCATTGGCAAAAACACAAACTTCCTTTACCTCTGAAACCTCATTGCAAGCCAAGTCATTTGTCCCTAGATGGACAAGTACATCCAATTCCCCTTCCTGCTTTTTACAAATACAAATACGTCTCCTGTCTCTGTGAGCAGTAGCTCTAGGAAGACATCTCACAAGACCACTATTGTCCAGCTCCACACCTTTTATGATAGAACAACTGCTTTCTATCAGGCCTCACCATAGTCTCCAAGCCTGTCTCCATTATATCACTACATTCGGAGCCTGAGCCTGTTTCCACAACACCACTACACTCGGTGCCTGAGCCTGTCTTCACAACACCACTACATTCAGTGCCTGAGCCTGTCTCCACAACACAACTACACTCAGTGCCTGAGCCTGTCTCCACAACACCACTACACTCGGTGCCTGAGCCAGTCTCCACAACACCACTACACTCGGTGCCTGAGCCTGTCTCCACAACACCACTACACTCGGTGCCTGAGCCTGTCTTCATAACACCACTACACTCAGTGCCTGAGCCTGTCTCCACAACACCACTACACTTGCTGCTGTCAGGGTGGCGGTCCGGTGCCCGGGACCCAGTATGCCTGAAGTTCAGAGTAGGAGTCACAGTGTGGAGGTGGATTAGCAGGAACTAGGAGTTTGATATGCAAACCTCCCAGGAACTGGATAGGGGGGCTCTGCAGCAGATATGTATCCAGTACAGAAACAATGCAAGGCTATAAAACATGAAAACAAGACAGAACTAGTAGAACCCAGAACCAGAGAAGCATAGGAAGCTAAAGCCAGACATCTCCGCAGAACATGGCATGATGTGACATAACTCCCCTCTTAAGGAGCGACCTCCGGGCGCGACAAGCAGCTCTCAGGCAGAGACCAGGAAAGAAGCGAGGATCCAGCAACTAAGTCCTCAAGACTTACCGGAGGCAAGGATACCCCTACACAGCAGGAAAGTAGTTTGCAGCTCACAATGCCATTCCGAACTACTTTACTTCCTTTGGAAAGGTCTCCTGCAAAGGATCCACCAGCCGGACCAAGATCCACTCCAGAATAGGAGGACTGCCACGAAACAGGAACCAAGCATCACAAGAGAACACCTGAAGCGACCACTGTACAGCTTAGCAGATCGACCTCCTCCACGACAAAAATAAGGAAGCCATCTCCAGCAGACTGGTCCAGATACAGGAACTCTTGCATGCCGAATAACCAACAGGAACTAGAACAAAGAACCAGGAACCAAGCATCACAAGAGAACACCTGAAGTGACCACCATACCACTTAGCAGATCGACCTCCTCCACGACAAAAATAAGGAAGCCATCTCCAGCAGACTGGTCCAGATACAGGATCTCTTGCATGCAGAAGAACCAGGCATGACAAGACACAGATAGAACAGGAAAGCTGCAAAATCCACTCCACGAACTCCAAGTGCCTACGGCCATCAGTCAGGGTGGCGGTCCGGTGCCCGGGACCCAGTATGCCTGAAGTTCAGAGTAGGAGTCACAGTGTGGAGGTGGATTAGCAGGAACTAGGAGCTTGATATGCAGACCTCCCAGGAACTGGATAGGGGGGGCTCTGCAGAAGATATGTATCCAGTACAGAAACAAGGCAAAGCTAGAACAGGCACCAAACATGAAAACAAGACAGAACTAGTACAACCCAGAACCAGAGAAGGATAGGAAGCTAAAGCCAGACATCTCCGCAGAACATGGCATGATGTGACAGTTGCCTGGGCCTGTCTCCACAACCCCACTACACTCAGTGCCTGAGCCTGTCTCCACAACACCACTACACTCAGTTAAATGTGGAAGCGTTTGCAAAATTAAAACAATTTACAGTAGATGCAGCAAACAATGTAAAGCTTTTTATTTTAGTTGTTATAACGGAATGATCTCCCAAAAGTTTGTTTCAAAAGTATATTACTCCAATCAAAATGTATACTAAAATGCAGTGATATTTTATTATTTTACATCTTTAAACTGTGTTACACACGAAAGTCTGAATTATTAGGAATTCAAAATCAATTTAATATTGTAGGTCAAAATCAGCCAATCTCCTAATAAATGCATCAAATACGCTAGGAATTTAGTTCTGCTATTATGGGCTAAAATTAGAAATTTACTTTCATTTCACCACAATTCACCCTTCAAGCAATATATATATATATATTAGATATATATTTATTTATTTTTTTTCCAAGGAAACCAATAATACAGGCTTGCGAAGACTAGACTAGAGCATTGCTGGAATGTAAACTACACCCATAAACACAGCCAGCAGTGACATCATTAAACACAATGTAAAGGTACTTACCCACTGTTGATCACTGCTTAGAGCTAATTCCGCCCTCTCTGTTAGGACGCCCAGGCGGCCATCATTGATTTGGGCAAACTCAATGTCCGTGTGTTACATTTGGCTGTTATTTTTCCTATTGTTGCGTTTAGAATATATTTATCTACATAGCAAGCACAGCATCCAATTATTTAATGATATGAGACTGTTTGACTAGAGGGGGTTGGGGGTCTGCCCTCATTCATCATGGCGGGCATGGTGGGCGTGTTCTGGCAATTTCCATCACTTTCTGTGCGCGTCGCCCCCATAGCACGTCAGAGCGGCGACTGTGCCAGTTAGTGTTTCATCGGGCTTATTTGGGGGGTAAGTTTGGGGAAGAAAGAGGGTAATATGGTACACGTGGTCTAGGAATATTTACATATATAACCATGTCCTCTCATGATATGAATGGGCTGGTTTGTTTTAATCTGGTGGTGGAGGAGGTTTAGCTCCATGCTTTACAGTCCATGCACCGAGCTCCAAGTGTTGCTTTGAGGGTTTCATAATAAAACTGCAGTCTGTGTGTGATTACTGCATGCACAGCTCAGACATTGTATGGAGTAATGTTATATAACTGGAGCAATCATCATGGAATATTCTCCTTGTGGAATGTTTTCCTCATAGAATATTCTCATCGTGGAATGTTGCTGGTGATTACTACGCTTTAACTAAAATTGCACTCTTCTGAAACTCAATTTCTGCCATTTTAGGAATATTGATCATAATATTTGTGTGGAAAGGGCACGTTCTTGCTGCAGATCTAAGGGCCAGGGATGAAAGTAGCCACAGTTGCCAAATGGCTAGTTATTATTATAGAAACCTAGAATGTGACGGCAGATTAGAACCATTCGGCCCATTTACTCTGCCCAATTTTCTAGATGGTCCGAATGGTTCTTATCTGCCGTCACATTCTATATTTCTATAATAATATTATTGTACTCAGTTCTTCTGAAACGGCACAGAAAATACATTTTCACTAGCTACTGGCTAGTGGAAATGTATAGTCCTTACATGACTCATTCCTTTTTCAATTCCCATGCACTTGATCCACAAGGATAGGATGTAGGGGACTGCTCCCTTGACAAATGTGCAACACATACGGTATCCCTACTTGAATTTCAAAGAGTCTTTCAAACATTCTAAGTAATGCCTCTTCTTATATGGTTGTTTTTTTTTTTTTTTTGTTTCCGCTTATTATTGTCATACATTTCCGTGCTTAAACCTAGATCACTTCGATAAGCATGTTAAAAATAATGATGGAATCAAATCCTTGTTTTTCAAGACACTTTGATAAATATACCCCTAGCCTTTATTAAGGAAGAGAGATGAGTTGGTATCAATCACGTCTACTCAGGCAGCGTGTGAGGCTCAAGTGACGCAGGAGTATCTAAGTCTGTCATGTATCAGGATTAATGCAGGTATAGGGAAGATCTTGGTTGGCACCTGCAACTAATTTACATACTTTCCTGATGTCCAAAAAAAAAAATATATATATATATATATATATATATATATATATATATATATATATACAAAAAACAATTAGCACAACCAATATCAAATGTTTAGTTAGCTCTCTGACTGTGCTAACATTTCAGGAGTGGCAATTCATCTTCAATGCATGTTCTTGGAGACTTACTTGGTATTTGTTTAAAATGCCTTCATGTTATATTTTTTTCATAGGATTAAATCACATTATTCAAGATGTCTTACATGCTTCCGCATTTGCACAATGGCTGGCAAGTAGACCAAGCTATTTTGTCTGAGGAAGATCGTGTTCTTGTTATTCGTTTTGGGCACGATTGGGATCCCACTTGTATGAAGATGGATGAAGTTTTGTACAGCATAGCTGAGAAGGTGAGTGTCTTATGGGACAATAAATAGAGCCTATAAAGTTATATATTTCTAGAATGGACATCACTAAATTATGAATCACGTAAATCAGAATTGATTGAGACACTTTAATTTTCTAAGCATCTTTAATATGCAAACCATAATGTTTTACTTTAAAGGACTCTTTTCTACTTGATTCGTTCCAAAGAAAATAAGTTGATATAATAATTGTGGTTGTGAAATTGCATTCAACCCTGTCTGATAAAAGAACACAACAGTGTACATGTTTGTACTTTTCTATGTGCATATTTTTATGTCTTTATCCCATGCATAAAAATATGCTCGAGAGCATCTGTCTTGCAACCAAGTGCTGAAAGCTGTCCTCCCCTTCAATCAGGAATAGCTTGGACTTCCCAACTTAAGTTTTTGTAGTCAAGGCGATAAGCACAGTACACCCATTGTACAGCGCTACGAAATTTGCTATCGCTATATAAATAATAAAATAATAATAATAATGAACATGGTGATATCATGTATTTGTATGCACCTTTCTTTAGTTGATTCAGTTTGAGGGTTAAATCAATACCTTGAGCTCCACTCTGTCAGCTGCGACCATTTAAAGGGACACTATAGGCACCCAGACCACTTTATCTCATTGACTCTGAGTCCCTTAAGCGACTGCATGCTCTGCATGAGGACATCCAGCATCAGTGAAAACCCAATAGGAAAGCATTGAAAGCCTAAAATGCTCGTGGCTCTCTCTGGGCATTCGGTTCTCCCCATGATGTTGGTGGAGGCAGATACCACTCCAGCGCCAAGGGAGATCAGTGCTGGAATCAGGTGAGTAAATAAAGGGTTTTTTAACAGTTTGTGTACAGGGGGTTAGACCTCTGATAGGGTTTCTCTGCATGCTTTCCTGCCGACAGTTATCCTCACAGGGCTTTGCTTGCTGCCCAGCACCAATCATATTGATCAGCAGGACCAGCAAGCTGGAGCTACAGCATGAGAGGTACATCACACAGTAGAGAGTGGTCACAGAGCGCTCTTTAGTGTGTAAGCTGCTTTATCCCTTTGCTGATACCAATTCCTAACGTCAGAAAAGATAACTATGGGTTATTGTTAAAGGATCTCTTAGTCACTCAGAACACTTAATTTCAGTGAGTACAGTGGTGTTGTATATTTAACCATTCATGGTAAAAGATTACTGTTTTACCTTGTATTTTTAATATATTTTTTTTAAAAGGTTTCTCTTTGAGTGAACATATATTTGTATGAGTATTTAATAAGGATTTTTTTAGGTATGAAATACTCAAGAAATGACAGCAATTCCAAAGTTCGTCTAAATGTAAGGATTAAAACCTTGAGTTATAGCAAAATGTCATATAGATAAATAAACAGCAAGAATTGTCACAAGCTAAAAGTGATTAATGCACTAGTAAGGAAATAATTATTTTACTGCTTAACACTCTAATCTAGTACTGAGCTGTGTGTATTGCTATATCACTGGTGTGCAAAGATGTTTATGTTCATATATGCTGTCTTCTGGATTATTGAAGAAAACTTGTATATAATTTGTCTCATACTGTTTTTATCTTATACATTCACTAGAAACGTGACTATCACTACAGATGGCATATTATTTGTAGTGTTATATTTCTATAATATTTATATTTTGATTTCTCTTTCTTCATAGGTAAAAAACTTTGCTGTTATTTACCTTGTGGATATCACAGAAGTACCTGATTTCAACAAGATGTACGAATTGTATGATCCATGTACAGTTATGTTCTTTTTCAGGTGAGTCTCCTTATATCTTGTGGTTAGTTTTTCCTGGCACTGCAGGACCCTAGAAACATAGAATGTGACGGCAGATAAGAACCATCTAGTCTGCCCAATTTTCTAAATACTTTCATTAGTCCCTACCTTATCTTATAGTTATCTTATATGCCTATCCCACGCATGCTTAACCTCCTTTACTGTGTTAACTAGTGATGTCCCGAACTGTTCGCCAAACGGTTCGCCACTCTCATTTGAGTAACTTTGATTACACATATTCAGCAGACCCTTCCTGCCCCACCTCCTGGACAGCTCACTCAAGAATGCAGCTTCACAATGGATGCTGTCCAGGAGGTGGGAGGATCTGGGAGGGAGGGTCTGCTGCTGATTGGCTGGAATGTGTCTGCTGACTGTGAGGTACAGGGTCAAAGTTTACTCAATGATGAGTCCGTGGCGAACCGTTTGGCGAACAGTTCGGGACATCATTAGTGTTAACCTCTACCACTTTGGCTGGAAGGCTATTCCATGTATCCACTACCCTCTCAGTAAAGTAATACTTCCTAAATTATTTTTAAACCTTTGCCCCTCTCATTTAAGACTATGTCCTCTTGTTGTGGTAGTTTTTCTTCTTTTAAATATAGTCTCCTCCTTTACTGTGTTGATTCCCTTTATATATTTAAATGTTTCTATCATATCCCCCCTGTCTCGTCTTTCCTCCAAGCTGTACATGTAAAATCCTGTAACCTTCCCTTGTCAATTTTATCCTGTAATCCATGAACCAGTTTAGTAGCCCTTCTCTGAACACTCTCTAAAGTATCAGTATCCTTCTGGAGATACTGTCTCCAGTACTGCGTACAATACTCCATGTGAGGTCTCACCAGTGTTCTGTACAATAAAACTCAGGCTCCCTCCCTAATCTAAATTTGCCTCACCCCTTCCTGTCAAGGCCAACATGTGCTTCGACTGACAGACACACACTGACACCGCCACTCAGTGACCGCCACGTACTCTGAGATACACTGACATAAACACACACTCACTGATTTGACACACTGACAGACATACACAATCACTCAGAAACACACAGACACACGCACGTTCACTGACACAGACACACGCACGTTCACTGGCAGACTGTCACGGTTCTCACCATGACATGCAGATGGACAGAAGTGCCCAACAGGAGATTTGTACCTGGGTCCTATAATGTCCTGGGCCTGCTATACTGCCTTTCAGCCACAGCAGTGCCCCTCTCCCTCCAACCTAATCCCAAGTTGCTGAAGGGGTTAAAACCCCTTCAGTGACTTACCAGAGTCCAGCACCGATGTCCCTCTGCGCTGGGTCAGGCTCAGCCTACTCTCCTACCCCGCCGACAGCCTGCAGGGGAGACCTAATGCGCATGCGCGGCAATCGATGCACACGCGCATTAGACCTTCCCATAGGAAAGCATTATTCAATGCTTTCCTATGGGGATTTCGGCAACGGTGGAGGTCCTCACATAGCGTGAGGACGTCCAGCGTAGTTTAAAACACTTTTCTTGTTCTAAGATTACGGAAATCCCTCTAGTGGCTATCTGATAGACAGCCACTAGAGGTGGACTTAACCCTGCAAGGTAATTATTGCAGTTTATAAAAACTGCAATAATTACACTTGCAGGGTTAAGGGTGGTGGGAGTTGGCACCCAGACCACTCCAATGGGCAGGAGTGGTCTGGAGTGTCCCTTTAAGTATTGAAATACATTTTACTTTGAATAATCTATATTGGAAATAATTTTACTACACTATTACAACAGGATGTGAGAATCTAGATAAATTTTTTAGATTGTTTAGTTAATATTAAAAAAAGGGGTTAAAATTTAATTTTAGATAGTTTTCTGTTCAATGTTCCCCAGCATTTTTGCCAAATATTTAAATTGTTTTTGAAATAAAATTTAAATTGTTTTCAGCTGAGGCAGAAATTCTTCATTGAACATTAAACAAAGGCAACATTGGATTCCCTTATATGTGGCATCCCTATTAACACTGATGTAAAAAAATTGTTTTATATTGCATAGCGATTTAAAACAAAATTTTGCATGTTACACCCTATATCAACACAGTTTTTCTACAGGGCAAAACCTGAATCTTTTTGGGTTCCACTCAGTCTTCCGTGTTTTTCAGTAGGACAGTAAAAGTCCCCCACTTAATGTGTTTACATTCATATTTATATATTTGTTTGGTTTTTTTGTCCACCAGGAACAAGCACATAATGATTGATTTGGGTACTGGTAACAACAACAAAATAAACTGGGCAATGGAAGACAAGCAAGAAATGATTGACATTGTAGAAACGGTTTACAGAGGTGCTCGAAAAGGTAGAGGTTTAGTAGTGTCTCCGAAAGATTACTCCACCAAGTACAGATACTGATCTCTCCTTGATTTGTCAAATACTATGCATTATTATTTTTATGTCCTTTGACTTGAACTCATAGACCCATTTTTTGTTTTGCTCATGGGCAACTGTCAAGAACTTCAAAGGTATGAATAATTTTTATGCTGCCGATACCATTGGGCTAGTAGATCGTATTATTAGCTTTACAAGCTTTCTGATCTATTTTGATATGGGTTTAAGCCTGAAATATTTTGTTTCAAATATTTTATTGTGATGTATGACTAATAAATATATTATTTGTTCTTTTTTTATAAATGTATTTTTGTATTGTTTTGTTTGCATTCTACAATCTATGTACACCCCAGAAATAATGAACAAGTAAATACGGATCAACCTTTTAATAACCATGTACTCACAGCATGATAGCTGATGACTGGACAAGACCAATTCTATCCTAACTGTGCAGGTCATTAAACATGTAATAAAAAAAAGAGCATTTATTGGCAACATATAACAAAACATGGGCTCCATTCAAAGCCGATGCATTTATATTTAAAGGTCTGTGATAAACATGTCCGTTATGTTTAAAAGACGACTTTACAATTTTATCTTCTGGGTTGTTTTTTTTTTTTTTTTTTTAAAGTTTGTTACTTTTAATTAAACTTTATTTTTCAAATGATGTGTGTTGATTTTTTTCCCCTTCGCACTCCAGATGTTTCATTAACTGTAATAAAATTGTTTAAAAAAAAAAAAAAAAAAGCGAAAATTTGATGGCAGTTGTCATTTCAAGGAAGGTGTTAACTGGACTTTGGAAGCACCATAAGTGTTTCATTTAGGTGGTTATAGAGTATGGAGTCCTCTGGTACTTTTTTCCATTCAGCATTAAACCATTTTGATCTTTTAATGCTAAATAAGAGTCGTCCGTTGTACATCTATGAAGAAGCATTAGCTTGAACCACAATGGGTAGCTGTGATTTGTAGAGCGTGTCAAATGACTGCATTCAGCCTATCTGTGCTTTTTGCTGGTATGAATCTGTATGCCTAAAAGGAAGCTTGTAAACTATACCTTAGTTTACCTGAATCGTCAAAACCGCGAGTCAAGCCGCCTTAGTCATGGGCGCTCAGCGGCATCCTCAGTTGGCTCTGTGCTTTACTCTCAATTCGTATATATGTTTGTTTTTTGGGGGGTTTTTTCTGCATTTTGCGGCTATGCGAACTGTTAGGATACTTTACTATCCTTCGGTTAATTCCAGCCTATTTATAACTCGCATAAGTTTTAGTGAGCATTCTGGATCATGCGCACGAATGCACTTGTTCGCCTGTATACGCACGAACACTAAGAAGTTATAATTTATCTTACTATTTAGTTTAGTTTTCATTCATCATGGAACGTTAGGTAATATGTGAAATCTTACCCAACACGAGGGCCGTTCGTATATTTATAACCGAACGTCCTATTTTATCAGTAGGATTTTTACATTAAATCATACGAAATGTTTTAATTCTTTGGTTTGGTTAATACTGTGTGTTTAAATGTCAGCCTCTAGTGGTCAGTTTTGGTACTGTATATGTATATATTTTAGGTTTGTCTGATATGTTGTTAGAGATAATATTTAATTAGGTAAAGCAAGCGCATTGCTTGTTAATTGTTTTGTCATTCTTTATCAGTAGATGCTGATGATACAAAGAAATATTTATGATGATGGCACTCAATAGGAAATTCGGTGCCGGTATCAAGGTCACCCTACAATCCAAAATCAATAAATAGGATACCGCACATGAGTGCGGTATCCTATTTATTGATGCTGACAATACGCTTGTTCTCTTTTTAAGTGACTTAATTGTGGTATCTCAAGTTATTTCCAGATCTCAATGTTCTAAAGACCATAGTCTTAGAGGTTATCTACCTGCTAAACATAGGTTACATTAATGCCATTGGTCTTTTGGTCATGACTTTAAGGTTTTGCTCTCTAGGTTACAGATCAAGAATTCCCGGTTGGAATTTAACAATCCACCAGCAATTAGGTGGGTTTATACGTGGATATATTATAATCATATAATGATGAGAGGCTGACACCCTGCCACAACATTCAGTGGCCACGAAACCCCCTCGTGCCAACTCATAGAGCCTCTCAAGCCGCTTGGCAATAAGCAGGGCCTCACCTGTCCCAAAATCTAGGTAATATTTAGCCATTTGGCATTAGTTAACCAGCCAGTATAGGGAAAGTGGGTTCTAAAAGGTAAATTGGGACAGAATATTGTGTTCTTGGGGAAATCCCAAGTTTGTATGTGTGCTGTTATTGCTTCAGGGCACATGCTAAAACAATGTTCCCCAATAAAATGTACCCTAAGCCTTATCTTTCATCTGTTAACATATCACTCTTGAGAATTATTACACGACCACCCCTCACCCCATCTGGTGTCAGGATTCAAGGAAGGGTTTAACACAGGCATCATTTATATGTCTTCAGGGATACTCGAATGTAAGAACTTGCAAATGGCACTAACCAATACAGACACGATAAATGAGCCACTCAAGAAAGAATTAGATCAAGGTTTTTTGACTGGTTTTGCCACTGTTACGGGCAAATGCAAATATTACAAGTTTTAGAATTAAATGTTGTATTTCTTAAACTGTGTACTTTGTCTTTAAGAGATATTGCAAACTGACAAGGTGTTAGAAATGGAACATTTTGTTTTTCATAACTATTTCTTTAAGCAATAACCTCAGTGCATAATATGTTTGTGCCATTTTGTCCCAGACGAAGTACAATAACAATAATGCATAAACAAGCTTCAAGGCTATCCTACGACTCTTGCAGTACACAATATACTGTGGTAACCCCAAGTTAATGGAACTTCCCCAAATCCGGGAATCTCCCACAACTGTACACTTACGACTTAGTATAAACAAAAGATAACCTATTCAGACTTTAAGATGCCATCTTGAACTAAGTCAGGAAAATTTCCATGACGTTTGCACCCTTTCGTTATGGCTTTGTATGTTTGCCAAATTAAGGGAAGTCCTAAAATGAATAAAGTAAAAGAAGTGTTACTTTTTCATATTTGAACTACAGTAACCTAAAATGGAGACACCTAAGGTATAAATAGGTGTACTTTTAAATGTTAAGAAACAGAGGAGAGACTTGGAGACAGACGCTGCTCCATCTTAAAATGACAGAGAGGCTGACATGATGACATGTTCAGAAGGGTATGTTAACCTATTAATGATATTTGCAAGCATGTAATTTAATCTTATAAACTCTGCTATAATGGATTTTATATTTTTATATAATAAATATCCAAAAGACAATCTTGCTTCCAAGACAATCCTTATTTTATATTGTATTCTCAATTATTTATATATGTTAAATAGAGGATCTTTTACACTATATAAAATTATGGCTAAGTTATCTGTATGGTTAGCCTTACTAAGTTCTATGCTTTAAGACATTATAGTGGTAAATAAGGGAACCACATGCGGTTACACCACTCTCCATCTTTTTCCGTATGGAGAACTAATCCCATAGGCGTGGTAACAGGGGAAAAATCAAATAAGCAAAGGACCTCTCTGCTCCCCACTCTACAGCAACAGCTAGCCTAAACTCACTAATTCCATCAGATGAATTTTCTCTCCAATACGCTACTATTGACAATGCCATAATGCTATGTTGTCAGCTGGAGTCGGAGCTTGGCTCAATAAGACCGACATAGTTAATGCATTCAAGCTCCTCCCCATTCATCCTTCACTTTGGCATCTACATGGTGTTAAATGGCAAGGGTCATAATATTTCTTTACACGTCTCACTTTTGGTTCAAAAAGTAACCCAGGGATTTTTGATCTGTTTGCTGAGACGGTGTTGGCTGCTACTTAACATCTGTAGATGCCCCACGGTTATTCATTACCTGGATGACTTCCTGACAGTAGAAAGTAACCTACCACCCAGTAGCCTCAAAGCAGCTATGCAACTGTTTGAACATAGTTTCAAGTTTCTAGTTTTGCCAAGTAAAACAAAGGGTCTCGATACAGTAATAAATGTCTTGGGGGTAGTTTTGGACTTGGTACACATGCAAGCCACTTTCACTTAAAGCTATCCTTCAACACTATTAAATTATATCTAACTGGCATTCAACATCATATCCTCACCTTATGGTCTAACAAACAGTTTCCTTTTATCCTCCCAGATTAAAGCAATATTAAAAGGTATTAAAGACTCCAACCCTATTCTTACACCCTCTAGATAACCCATCCACGATCACCCGTTCCAGTCTTTTTCAGACCTCATAGATACTTCACCATTTGAAACACATACAAAGCACGTCATAAAAACAGACATCTATTTGGTATTGTATGGCTTTCTCCAGCCTAGAGAATTCACTAACACTATCTCCCCTGACTTTATCAAAAGAGCTCATCTGGTTAAATAACATGACCATTGCGTACTTTCACAAAACCATACGAAAACTAGCGGAAGAGGTCAGACAGTAAAAATCACTTATTACCCTGCAAGCAATCATTGGTGCCTCATTAAAGTTCTGGATAAATACCTTTACTCCAGTCAAGGTTCACCAGACCAACCACTACTTGCTCTACATAACAATACACTGACAAGTAGATTTATGCTTTACATCAGAATGTTATTGGTAAGGTTAGTTCTTAATCCAGCAAATTACTCTGGTCATTCCTTCCAAGAGAAATATACCAGTACACATTATCAAAACCTTAGGACGGTGGAAGTCCTCTACTTACACTAGATATATACCTCAACCAGTCTAGGAGATACGTCAAGCTTTCCGTAACATGAATATGTGATGTATCTAATGTATTCGTAGACCGAATACATTTTTTACATCTTTTTGCCCTTTTATTTCAGGTCTACCTCATCGTTGGTTCTGCCACACCTTATTTCTATATGTCTAATACCTCTAACTTTATGGCTTTTGATGCCTCGAACGCATCGATATAAATATATATCCTTAAAGGGACATATAGAGATAGATAGATCCCCTTAATGGGACAGTATAGGCACCAAGACCACAAGCAACTACAAACAAAACAAAATGAAGCTTAAAGAAACAGTAAAGTGGGTTTTTCATTTTACAACAATTATTAGTCCATCTCAATGGAGAGATTATATATTTGTCTCGATGTATTGATCCGTACTGACTGAAGGAATAACATGAATGCTTGAGTTAGAAGCATAATATTAACCTATGATGTTCATACAAATGGACACTAGTGCCGATATACACGTATTCCCAAAAAAGTATTGTTATAATTCTTATTTCTACTGAAAATAGATCGGTTATATGTGCTGGAAAATTAGTTTGCGCTAGTATATATGTTTTTCCTAGAGTGTCAATATCACAACACACAAAAAGGAGTTGGGAATTGTTATAGACCACAAACTATGCAATGTCAATCAGCAGTGGCTAAGGCCAGTAAGGTATTGTCATGCATGAAAAAGGGCATTCATTCTCGGGATGAGAATATAATTTTGCCTCTTTATAAATCAGTGGTAAGACAATTTTGGGCACCTGTTCTAAAGAAGGATATTATGGCACTAGAAAAAGTGCAGAGGCAGGCTACAAAATTAATAGAAGGAATGGAACATATCAGCTATGAAGAAAGGTTAACAAATTTAAATCTATTTAGTTTAGAAAAACGTCACCTGAGAGGGGATAAGATAACATTATACAAATATATTCAGGGCCAATACAAACCATTGTGTGGAAATCTGTTCAGAAACCGGACTTAACATAGGACACAAGGTCATGCATTTAGACTGGAAGAAAGAAGATTTCGTCTAACGCAAAGGAAAGGTTTTTTACTGTCAGAACAATAAGGATGTGGAATTCTCTGCCTGAAGAAGTGGTTTTATCAGAGTCCATACAGATGTTCAAACAGCTGCTCGATGCATATATGCAAAAACAGAATATTCAAGGATATAATCTTTCAATGTAGGGTAATAACTGCTTGATCCAAGGATAAATCTGACTGCCATTCTGGGGTCAAGAAGGAATTTTTTTCCTAGCTTGTTGCAAAATTGGAAGTGCTTCTAACTGGGGTTTTTTTTGCCTTCTTTTGGAACAGCAGCAAAACAAATGTGAGGAAGGCTGAACTTGATGGACGCAAGTCTCTTTTCAGCTATGTAATAAGTTTTGCTGAAACTAGACCTGTAATAAGTGCAGTTTCTCTGTTGAAAATTATGGGAATAGATTGCTCTAGATAAACTTTTATGTATTAGATTCTATGTTGTGCCAAGGTACAATAATTGTAACATCTAAAGCATCAAAATATTTGGAAGCAAAGTCCAAAACTACCCCCAAGACATTTATTACTGTATCAAGACCCTCTGTTTTACTTGGCAAAACTAGAAACTATGTTCAAACAGTTGCATAGCTGCTTTGAGGCTACTGGGTGGTAGGTTACTTTCTACTGTCAGGAAGTCATCCAGGTAATGAATAACCGTGGGGCATCTACAGATGTTAAGTAGCAGCCAACACCGTCTCAGCAAACAGATCAAAAATCCCTGGGCTACTTTTTGAACCAAAAGTGAGACGTGTAAAGAAATAGTATGACCCTTGCCATTTAACACCATGTAGATGCCAAAGTGAAGGATGAATGGGGAGGAGCTTGAATGCATTAACTATGTCGATCTTATTGAGCCAAGCTCCGACTCCAGCTGACAACATAGCATTATGGCATTGTCAATAGTAGCGTATTGGAGAGAAAATTCATCTGATGGAATTAGTGAGTTTAGGCTAGCTGTTGTTGTAGAGTGGGGAGCAGAGAGGTCCTTTGCTTATTTGGATTTTGGTCTGGGAGCAAGCCAGGTTGGAATGCTTCTTCAGATTAATTACATGCACCTAAAATAAAGTGTTCTGTGAACCATATCTCACCCTTTTCTGGATCTGCGGCACATTTTATATTGTTTCATTTTATATAATGTGGAAGTTGCTACAGCCCATTTGGATATAGTAATGAACTTGGATGCCCTCAACAGGTATTTACCAACTGCAGCACTCATACCTTGCTTCAGAAATCTGCAACTATGTTGTAACTTGTGTATGACAAATGCAAAAACATCACAAACCATGGAAAAATGAATGCAAGTATTAAAGGGACACTGTAGACACTATAACCATAGTGTTTTAGGAGGTAGGTGGATGTTCTTAACTGAACCTCTCTCTTAAGAACCAGAAACGATTTCTTGCTCTTGTTTACAAAATAGAGATCTACCCGAGAGACTGTTGGTATGTTATGGTTGGTGGGAAATGGCAAGTAGCAGTTTGAAGTTCCACCTTTTATCACTTTAAGACAACAATCTGCACTTATATAAAACAAGGTTATCTATGTCGTATATGTGTTGTGTGGTTTGGAATTGTAAAATATCCAATATATATATATTTGTGAAATATCCTAGGATATCTACCCTTTATAAATAGTTGTTGGGTTAATTTCAAACAGTGGGATGCCATACTGTGGAGGTGTAGAGGTTCAGTGAAGTTAGGAGATTCTACTGTGCATGTCCCAAATTTGTCAGGTGGAGCATTTGCAAAGTAGCTGAAAACAATCTAGAAAATGATACATAAAATGTAATTACAATGTTGAATGTGTTTAAAAATGTATAGGATACAATTACTGCAAAATGTGTCATTTCAGAGGTAAACTGGCTGCATGAAATGTCAGCTCCTGAAACAGATTTGTTTAATTTATGGGGGTAAGTTGAAGTGTAACATCCATAAAATGCTCCTAAATTAGGTCCAACAAATAAATCCTTAACATTTAAAACTGAAAGAGACATGTCGTGCTCTGCATGTATTACTGTACTCTGGAATGCATCTGAACAAGGTTTCCAACTTTTACTGCTGTATAACACATCAGGGTTATGAAATATTCAGCAATAATATATAAAGTTTGCAGAAAATGTATTTACACTGACTGGCAGAAATTCAATTTCTAGTTGTAAGGATTAATATTAATACTCTGAATCTGACATATATTTTTCTTTGAGTAATTTAAGCCTGTGGATAGTTTATATGCCTTAAGGGGTTATATTAATATAGGTAAACCTTGCTGGCACATGGTCCCCACCAGGTTTAAAAAGACAATAGAAAAAATAAAACAAAGCAAAAAAATAAATAAATACCTGTGATTCTACCCACAGATAATGTTCTCCCTGTAGCACAATCTTCCTCCTGGGATGTCATTCCCCTCACTGCAAAGGGAGGGGTATCCTGGGAGGCATTGCTGAGGAAGGACATAGGCATGCAGTGCTTGCTGATGACAGATGTCTTTGATGCACAGTTTTAACACCAACTGTGCCAAGTGTATTATCTCTGTATGTGCAGCATTTCCTACTTAACTGCTGTGCATACAAAATCCTAGCACCATGACCACTTCAAAAGCACAAAGTGGTTATGGTGCCTGGAGTATACCCTTTAAAATGACATGTCAGGCAAATTAGTATGTCACAATTCAATGTTTCAAAGCCAAAAGTGTCATATTCTTAATTATTAGGTCCCCCTCCACCTTTAATTTTTTTTTTTAAGTTTCACAGCATGGAAAGCCCTAGACCTGGTCAAGGGAAGTAAACCAAAAAGTTTAAAATCCAATTTTTTCGTTACAATTCACAAACTGTGTGTGTGTATATATGTATATATATATATATATATATATATATATATATATATATATATATATATATATTTTTTTTTTTTTATTATTTATTTATTTATTTTTTTAAAGTGTGTAGCTCTGTATGACCATTTCAAATTAAGGAGACCAATGCAGCTTTAAGAATACAGCATTTATTTAATCTATTATATTTATTTAAAAATATAAAACAATACATAGGACAGACTTCTCACAGATACAAAAAGATACATTTGGATTTTCTTGTTCGTGCTTTAGGGCTGAAAGAGAAAAAAAAAAAAAAAGTACTTAACAGTGTGTTTTGAAAAGAAAATGCCTCTAAACAAGTTATCTATAGTAAACTATTATCAGTGTCAATTATCAGTTAGTCTCACTTGGTTACCAGCATGCTACAGGTTCTTATTCATGTCTCCGATTATGATTAGTGAGATTGCCACATTTGACATATTAGAACACACTGGGTGTGACATATTAAAGCAGAACTTTGACATCTGATATTTTTGCCCACCCATATTTAGCTATGCTCTTACTATAATTATTTTTTAACTTTTGAACAGATTTTCATTTTATATTGTGTATCTGTTTTTCTTACACCTCTTTGCAAATCCGCACAGGGCGATGAGGGTTTACTTTTAGAGAGGTGTCAGATCCACTCTAAGCACCATGACCACTTCAGTGTTTTGAAGTAGTGATGGTTAAAGGATCCCGTATGTGCAGTGGTGTTTTATTTGTTTGTTTGTTTTTTTACATACAGTTCATTAAAAATATTTATTTTCAAAACTTAATAAATTAGTTTTGAGGTGACAGTTGTCCTTTAAGTTTGTTTAAACAAGCAAATATAAATGCTGGAATGAGTATTATCCACATCCATCAACATTAGAGTACTGGTAAGGCCATCCAACCACAACAGTATGCATGTTCAGAAACACTTTAACTGTAAAGTTAAAATTACAGATCTACATGTGGAGCCCCCCAGCTATTATTCTGTGCGTAGGTTGTACACTGTTTTGGTGGTCTGAGGCCTGGCTTTAGCGATGACGTTTTACTTGGTAACCACAACACACTATGTGTGTTGAACACCTTATTTAGTATCTATACCAGTCATGATTGGTTCAGCGTAAGTGCAATTATCTCTTTAATGAATTAATATGTGAGTTATCATAAAGATATTATATAATTTATTGGTTTAGGAGATATTTAATATTCACCTCAAGTCCAGCAATGCTGAAATCTATGTGGGTATTTTACTAATGTAACATCCATCCCTCTGTTCCCTTCTACACTGTTGTCCCTGCTTGGAAATACTTCCCAAAGCAACGTGCACTATAGCATGCCTCCCAACAGTCCTGGGTTTTGGACTCCTGTCTCGTCATCCCGGGTTTGTTAACTTGTGTGCCACGTCTCTAGACACCATAGAAATGTCTCCAGCAAGCACACCATTAGTGCATTATTAGACGAACTTGCACTGCGCAGTGTGAGTGCTCTCGATTTAGAAGAGCTCTGTCCATGGACAGCCTTATGTTCAGCAGGCCAGGGTGCGTGGTGTGCACTTTTTCCCATCCTGAGTTCATATCGCCTAATGCTGGAAGCTATGTTTACTCATTGTGAGCAATTGCCTGTTAACTGGTAAATACGATCTGCTTCATTCTGCCAGTGGAAATCCACCAATATTTCCTTGGAAACACTTTTGAATCCTGGTAAACCGCTCTCATTCCGTTGAGATCTTTTACTCTAATTTTGTAAATTGGTTTGAATTTAGAGCTTAGTAAATCATCCCATTGTAAACTAAATTTTTTGCCTAATGAAAAGCAAACAAGATTCTTACCACTACATCATCAGGGTTATCTATGCCAGCTTGTGTCATCAGTTCACTGACATCCTTCTGCAGTTCGTCAAGCTTGGAGCCAATTTCTTCCAGTAGGATATTAAAGAAAATTATAAAAAATAGTTTTCAAGTATTCAAAACATTCTTGATCAACCGGTTTATCATAAGATATATTTAAATATGTTTTCATTTCTGTATTGAAAAGATAAAAACTGAAATGCCATGTTGGGAATCTGCATAGAAAGCTATTTTGGGTCAAATTCTAAAAATCTATCAATCAAGGACATATTGGTTGTGATGATAATTTCTCCATTTTATTATTTTGCTGCAGAACTGCGTTTTATATATACAAAAGGCCAAATTTTCATTGCCTTTTAATACTCTAGGTGTAATGTAAATTTCATAATATTCATTCCAGATGTAGTCCAAAAAGTTTGTTAAGTAAACAATTGTTATTCATTATAGAATAATCCATTTTACCTATAAATCATCAGAAGGCTTCTCAGCTACAATAGGCATGTCCTGTGATACTTACAGGGTTATTTTCTAAAGTGAGAATTCAAAGTGAATTTCAAATGTAAGTCCAGAGCAGTTTAGGTCCTGGGCCCCCATTGGATCTCCAACGCCACAATAGTCTAGCCTCTGCTTGCTCCGCCTCTGTTTTGATGATCTTAGCCAAACGAACTAAAAGCATAGCCGACTTAGAGAAGCTGTTAATTTTGGCTTTTTTTTACCTTAAGTTTGAATTTTACTTTATATTCACCTTGCGGTCTCACTTTAATGACTAATGTGATTGACAAAGCATCATGGGAGTTAGTGTTACATAACAGGTGATTTTATAAAAAAATATTTGATTATTCTAAACTTGCAATGCTGGTAGGTTATCATTAATATACATAACTTTAAAATAAGGATATTTGTACATTTTACAAGTACACTGTAAAAGGTCATTTTTTAATGGGGATGTTCACGCCTGTTGGATCGGCCTATCACTTAAACTTGGGCAGTTGAATAGATCACAGACAAACCTCATTAATCTGCTAGCTGGGAGAAATTAATGTACGACCAAAAATATAATTTTATATTTTATTTAGTAAAAGCATATAGCTTTTAAAGACTCAGTTTTAATTCATTCCCATAGATAGCACAGAGTCAGAATAATCCCAACAATTCATTGGTTACTTAGTTATCTTCGTAAAACACATATTATGACATATTGAAAGCATTCTTGCTGCCAAATGTTTCTGGTTGCATAACATTTTACCTTTCTCCAGCTATCTTATGCTAAAATCTTTAAAGGGACACTATAGGTACCCAAACCACTTCGGCTCTTTGAAGTGGTCTGGGTGCAGTGTCCCATGTCCCTTAACCTTGCAAAGATAATTATTGCAGATTTTAGTAAACTGCAGTAATTACCTGCCAGAGTTCACTAAACCTCTAGGGGCCGTCTACCACACAGCCACTAGAGGAACTTCCTTGTCCTTGGGCAACTTTTGGTCGCCTGACACTGGACGTCCTCACGCTATACACGAGATCATCCAGCAACACCCAAAATCCCATAGGAAAGCATTATACAATCCTTACAATTTTACAATGCTTTCCTATGGGGGAAGGCCTAATGCAACGCGACCATCCCAGCACAGGGAGTGACATAGTGGGACACTATAGGGAGCTATAGTGCCAGGAAAACAAGTTTGTTTTCCTGGCACTATAGTTTCCCTTTAATATAGGCTTTTCATTGTAAACGCTGCCTTTTCAGAGAAAAGCAGTGTTTACATTGCTGGCTGGCAACTCAAGACTGCCACTAGAGGTGCTTTCCATGTCAGTGCTGCACAGTGTGCAGCACCAGCATTCAGCGTCTTCACGCCCTGCGAAGGAAGCTATGGGAAAACATTGGCTAAGATCATCAAAACAGAATTGGGGCATGCTGCAGCCAGACCATGCAGAATTGGAGAAGAGGCGAGTTTAACACCTTTTCAGTGCGATCCAAGGGGGTCTGGTGACCTAAACAGCCACATAGGCACTATAGTGTCAGGAACACATTAGTAATCCTGAAACTATAGTGGACCTTTATTATTTAGAATATATTGTGTTTACTGCTTAAGTTTGATGTCCTATATCAATGGGTCTGTAGACAAACAGCTAGGGAATATGGTATTCTTAGGTACCATAAGAAAACAGGATAGAAAATCATCTTATCTGAAGTATATGAGGATATATGGCCTTTATCATGAGTTAGCATGAAATTATGTTCTACCAAAAATTCACTCTTTTCCTTCTTATGTATATAAAAACATTTTCTAGCTAGGTAAAGCTTATATGGATGCCTAACATAATATGGTGCTTTGAGATAGAAGTATTCTTGGATGATGAAAAAAATAAAATAAACACTACCCATAGTAAAGCCTGCTGTCTCCCCTCAGCTTTTTTTCGATACTTTATGTAGGGTTGGCAATGCCTCTGCATTGTGTAGAATTTGTATGGACTGGATTAGAAGTTTGAATAATGCTGAGCAAGACCTAAAACACATATTGTTATAAGGGGTAAAATGTTTCCCCAACTTCTTTCTTATATGTTTACTTTGTACACTTGTCAGCATGGCAGACAAAGCCATTTAACACCATTACAAATGTCTAATTTCCTTGTGTTGAATCAACACAGTTTATTCGAAATGTACTCACATATAATGGGTTTGGTAAATCTTATGAAAGAAGGGAGACATGGCCGTAGAGAAAAAAAATATATAATTGCTGCCTATATGATATTTTGAGTATTTTTATATAAACCTATATAAATGTAACTCTTAACAAAAACACATCTTTCAGACTCATACACACGTTAATCAACCCCTGAAATAATATTTTAACTAAAATATTCAACATGTCTTACATTTGATCTTATCAGAAAAGGACCTGCTGTGTACATTGGCCAAGCATTTAAATCTGAAAATAACGTTCTGTGATTTAAGTGTTTGGTGTGTATTTATTATTGTGGTGGTACATTTCTGGTTTAATTCATACCATATAATTGGTTTTGTTGTTTTTATACACAGCCACTGAATTTTACTTTCATACTCCGTACTTTGCATACAACTGACCTTTCACACCAGCAAAATGGCAGCGACTACAATCTAAACCCTTGCTAAAACCTAATGTAGCACTCTTGAAACATTCATAGCACTTTACTGTATATCTTCAATGGTTATTTACGGTTACAATTCCCAGGCATAACGTAGATTTGTGAGGCTGGTGCCAATAAATGACCAATTAAGAAATAATGCAGACTTAAGTATAGTATACTTTTCACTTGTTTTAATTTTTGGCCTCATCTCTTTTACCCCTAATTTCTAGAACATACACTATTGCATTGGTTGAGTAACAGCCAGGTGATACTTTAACAAAACAACTCAATCCCACAATAGAGAAAACTGACACTTATTTCAAAGTGCAACCAAAAGGATATTTCTTTGTGTTAGTTGATCTGACATCCCCTGGAATCTTTCCTGGAGGCCTTTCAGCAGACTCTCTGCCTGGAAGAAAAGACATAATTGTAATTTTATGCAGTACGATTCCTGTAATGATGAAATACTACTACTCTAAAAAGAAGAACTCCAAGCACAATAACCTAACACTACAGCCCACTGTAGTGGTTATGGTAACAGGAGTACCCCAACGCCCTCCCAGGGTAATTAGTCAAACCATTTTGGAACTGTTTAGCTACTTACCTGGGGTCTACCGTGTGCTAGTCACAGCTCCTGCCTCAGCGGAGTGCTCGCAGGCAATGAACTTAGCCCTGCACTATAAGGAGCACACAGCTGGACAAGTCAACCCCAGGTAAGTGGTCAAAATATATATATTTAAAATTCCAGTGGCATGGCCAAGTTTCCCTCACAACCCACTCTTCCTCCATTGGCAGCATTTGCCCATGTCGGCGGGTCCTAGGGGGACGGAGGTCAGTCAGGGCAGCCTGAGATGAGGACATGGGCAGCATGAAAGGGAGGATTTCATGTTGCTTATGAGCATCTGGTTCAAGTATACTGTGTGTGCTGGCATCAGACACACAATTTGCAACAGGATAAACATTACCCACATATTACTCTGAAACATACAGACTCTGGGCACCAAGACCACTTCAATTCATTTTACTGACATGATCATGGTGCTTGGAGTAACCATTTAGCCTGGGATGGCACCAATGCACTCCTGGCTCCCTAAAATCCATATACATTGTAAATTATCACTCCCTCCCCCCATACCTCCAAAGTGCCCCTGTATTGAAAGTACAGTCCCTATTTTGGGCCCAACTCCCTATGTCCCCTTTACATCCTAATGTCCCTCTTTTCAAGGTTGTTGGTGTGTGAGTATAACAGAGCTCCACAGCAATAAAACTCTTAGTAATATGTATTTAACGTACAATTAAGGTGTTGGAATCAGTCTGGGTCAATAAGATATTGTTTTAAGTTACATTTTATAAATTGTAATTAGTAAGTAACCTAAAATGTCTCAAAACCGCTCCGGCCCTGGCCTCACGCCCACCGCTTCTTTTTTCAATTAAAGTGTCTGGACATATGCTATCTCTTTACTGCCATAACAATGCTCATCACTCCTTTGCATTCTTACATTCCCATCACACTTATCCTCCCTTCATTCAAATCTCTCTCTATCCTCTCTTAAAGGGTAACTCCAGTGCCAGGAAAACAATCCCCGTTTTCCTGGCACTGCAGGTCCCCTCTCCCTCCCACCTCCCAATCCCTGATTGCTGAAGGGGTGAAAACCCCTTCAGTCACTTACCTGAGACCCCCGCTGATGTCCCTCGGCGGTGGTTTCGGGTTGCCGCCGCTCCTCTTCTTCATTATGTCGGCCGGTGGGCGAGACTGATCCCGCCCGCCGGCCAAACCTAATGTGCATGGGCGGCAATGCCGCTCATGCACATTAGAGCTACCCATAGGAAAGCATTGAATGCTTTTCAATGCTTTCCTATGGGGAATTGAGCGACGCTGGAGGTCCACACAGCGTGAGAACGTCCAGCGACGCTCTAGCACAGAAAATCTGTGCTAGAGGACACAGAAGTAGACAGCCACTAGAGGTGGAGTTAACCCTGCAAGGTAATTATTGCAGTTTATAAAAAAACTGCAATAATTACACTGGCAGGGTTAAGGGTAGTGGGAGTTGGCACCCAGACCACTCCAATGGGCAGAAGTGGCCTGGGTGCCTGAAGTGTCCCTTTAATCCCATAACTTCCTTCCTTGTCTCCATTTCTTTCCTTCCATCAAATCCAATTCCTATGCTTCCATTATTCCCACCAATCCATCTCTATTCTCCAATCTCCCAAACTTGACTTTTAGCCTCGACTGTGCCTTTTTGTGTTTGCGCCTGTTTGAGTCTGCTTACGGCTGTTTATGGATGTGCTTATCTGTGGCTTTCTGTTCCATGTATACCCATCTGTGTTATCGACCAAAAACACTAATACAGTCATACATCTCAAGCGTCATGTATCTGATGGAGATGGTGTTGGAGGGATGCAGCTATAAGAAAACACATACTCTATGCTAATCTCTCTCTAATTTATGCTTTCAAGTAAATCCATACCCCCTAACAGCAGAGTCCAGTGAAGTAGAAAGTCAATGGGCGAGGTAAAAGGGTGGGCCACTGACACAAATCACGTGATCAGAACTGCCAAAAGGGGCAAACATGCCCAAAAAGGGGGCATGTCTGCCTCTCCACACATAGTGACCCCTACTGGCGCTGGTAATGCAGAGTAATCTCCGTTTATACTGAGAAAAATATCTGCATTTTTATTGCCGGTATTACTGCAATACCGGCATGGCCAGGCAGCCTCAAAATACCGGCTGTGCTGGTAAAATACCAGTCAAACCTAAGAGTAGTGTGTAAAAACTTTTTTTTTTTTTAAATGTGCCTATTCCATGGGCCAGGGCCAGGGCCTGGACCTGGAGCTCCATCAGCCCCTATGTGAATCCGGCCCTGCATTCAAGCACCATAACCACTACATCAGGGCTTGACAAATTCCAGGTGCCTGGTCGCCATGGTGACTAGAAATTTTGCCCTTTCACCTAAAGCGGCCGACTGTGAAAATAATGGAGTCGGCCGCCTGTAGGAGCATGAAGGCATCTGGCTCAGAGAGCGTTGTAGTCGGCTGCTCTGGGTTTTATGGAGGTGGTCAGCTCAGGGAACGTTGTAGCCGGCCGCCCTGGTGGCCGGCTGACGGGGAGCATCGAGGTGGTCGGCTGAGGCAGCAGTGATCTTTCTGCAGTTCCTCACGTTGTTTAATGATGCTGGGACTCAAAATGATGTAATTCCGGTCCCGGCATCACCACAGGGAGCAGAGAGGAGCTGCAAGTAGATTACTGCTCCCTCGAACGCAGGAAGATAGAGCAGCCCCACTGGACCCCAGGGAAATATTCACACAGCTCTCCCAAAAGGTAGGGAGGCTGGGTGGATTACAATAGAAAAATTACTTTTTTTTTTGTAAGTGTGTGAGCAAATGTGTGTGTGTATGTCTCTGTCTCTCTGTGTATGTCTTGGTCTCTCAGTATGTGCAAATGTCTGTTAGTGTGTGTGTCTGTCAGTGTGTATCAGTCTCTCTCGGTGTGTGCATATGTGTCTGTCAGTGCGTGCCTGTGTCTGTCAGAGAGTGTGTGATGGTTTAGGTCCCTGCCCCCCTCCGATCACATGATTGATGTTTTTACCCCCTTTATTTTCCCACGCCGTGCTGGTTTCGCCGTGGCTTGTCCCGTCTTCATAGCCGAGTTGAGCAATCTTTATGATCTCAGCTAAGCCATTGCTTTCCCATTGAAAAGCATTGGGAGGATATTGTGCATGTTCTCTATGGGTAACATTTAGCACCTCCATGCAGAGCACCCACACAGAACTCTGGCCTCCTGAGTGACTGTCACTAGAGGTCTTAGTAGGCAGAAATACTCTGAAAATGCAGCATTTACATTGAAAAGGCTACATAGGCAGGCTATAGACACCAGAACAACTACTTTTATCTGTAGTGGTTCTGGTGACTATTGTGTCCCTTTAAAAAAAAAAAAAAAACTGGCTCCTAACGTTTTTAGCTGGCTCCCAGATTCCCAAAAAATGTGTCAAGCCCTGCACTACATACAGATTGCTCTGTAGAAAAAGCAGGGCCATTCAAGAAAGGGCATAGCATCAGCAGCAAGCGCTCAGCCAAGGAGCCAAGAGAGACCCAGAAAATTGTTAGATTATAATAAAACAGTTTGACACATTGCCAAGGGACAGCGCCAGCGCACTCCTGGTATCATAATCACCGCAGTAGCTTCCAGTGATTTTGGTGCATAGAATGCTCCTTTAAATATCACTTTGGTACGAAATGTTTAGTAAATGAAACCTTAAATGTTTTTTTAAATTTTCATCACAAGGTGCAGTGAAAGTTAGAAAATAATATACATTTAACAAAGGGAAAATTATTTCATTAACATAATTGAATATATATATATCGTGGTCAGCCTCTTATCTGACAAGATGAGCAGCTAGAATCAAGACAGCTTTAAAACATATAATATGAACAGATATAGCTTAGTATGAATGGTTAGACTGCAATTCATGTAACTAGGTGATATTAAATCCCAGCCAACTCCTCCAAACAGATCCCACAATCCTAATCGACAACTCACATGTAACATATAGCAACATCAACATAACACTTACAAAGTCGGAGAGGTCCTGTGGGGTCTTGGGATCACTGTCTGTCATGGTACTGCTGATGGCTGGTTATGGAGCAATGTCAAAGCTACAAAGTGAGCAGAGACACTGAAACCCAAAAGAGCAGTTTGCTGTCTTTTCAGCTGTGCTAAAAGAATGCAGCGTCTATAAACAAACTAAACAATGATACCTCAACTGACTTAGAAACGTCTGGCCAATAGGAAGCAAGCAGACAGTAACCACACACCTCCTGCAGGGCACAAGGTAACAAACTGCTACACACTATCTTCATTGGTTACTGCTACTTAATGTTAGAAATTAAACTGGTTTGCAGAGTAGCATTGGGCAATTTGCATACATTAAATGAGGCGCTCATATTCTAAAGGGTAATATTCCTGCCTTAGGATAAAATATATATTAATACAGGACAAATAGTATCCTTGCGTTTTAACATATAGCGGGAGGGGGAGGGACATGTCTGTAGTTATAGTCAATTAGTCTAATGTGGACAATGGATTCTGGCTGGGAGTAAAGGAGTTACATTCCAGCATCATTAGAGCTCGTTAAACTAACTTGTAACCTAGCACTGAACGTAAAAGCCGAGATTAAAGGCATCCGTCCCCAAACTTTATAAGATGTTTAAAGCCAAACAGGATACTTAAATCTAAACTACCGCATTTGGAGTCTTTGCAAAACAAAACCAAATGTTGCCAAGGGGACAAGCCTGCTTGTATAGTAACGGAATGGGGCAGTGGGATAGTGAAGAGGTAGTTATATTTAAATTGGTCTTCCACCATCTACCAGGACCTGCGCACAGTATAACATATTGAGACCATCCATAGATTACATTGTACATGGATAATGTATAAAACATTGATTTCACTTTAATTTAACCCCTTAAGGGCACATGACATGTCATGATTCCCTTATAATCCAGAAGTTTGGTCCTTAAGGGGTTAACTTAATACAAATATTTGCTGACTTTGTAGCCAAAACATAATCAGTTTAACTTATGGAATAAAAATAAGTAAATGAAGATTTGTATGTCCATTTTTCCATGAACTATGTCAAACTAGACTGTGCCTATACACATAATTGTCTGTATAGGAGAGGCTAAATTAGAATAAACTAATTATAACACAGGTCTTTATTACACTGCTAGAAATACATTATATATTAACTAAACAGAACCAGCACACAAAGCAGGTAAACCAGTTTGCAATGACTTAAAATAACCTTATTACATATCTTGGAATAATCCATTCACACTCATATTAAAGCATGGGTTCGTTATTAAACTACAACCTGACTGGACAAGTAAAACCTGCTTTTCTTATAGACTAACAGTTACACCTCATTATGCCTGTTCAACTGCCAGGCTAATCAGTAGACACAGACACCCATTACTGTCTTCGCTTAGAGATTGCATGGATTTAGACTCTAAGCAAAGACAGTAAAGGGAGTCTGTTTCTTCTGATTAGCATAGAACATGGTTTACCAACCTTTAATGTTGAAAGAAACATAAATGTTTCAAAAAGTGCAGGGACTCATCTACAATGATTTAATATTTAGGTTTTGTTTTTTTAATGTAATTTAGTGAAATGTGGCATTAGATTAAGTGAAATCACAGTCCTTGTATATTCTACTACTTTCATTTGTAGTGCCGATCTTGCTTTTTTGTCTGTGAAATAAAAAGTTAAATGTAGACTTGACTAACTGCACTATGAGGATACACTCACAACTGCCTATTGTGTTGGGTAACAGATAATTCCGCACTTGTATATAAGTGCAGACCTTAAAGGGACACTTATGCCTTGTTTCCACTGAGCGGTATGGTTCGGGTTGGTACGGTTCGGAAGGGTTAGAATGGTCCAGTCTATTCAGGTGAGCGTTTCCACTGCAAGGCGGCTAGCCAGGGGGCATGCGGGGTTTAGACCAAATGCCTAGCGCGCCATTTGTCGTGAGCATTGATGTTTTCCTGTCCGCCAATCAATGGGTTGTATAGTGTCAGCCCTAACTGTACCATTTCCTATGGGCCTACATCTGAAGGGGGCCCAGGAATGGTGCGGTTTGGTTCGGTTGCATGGGCCACTTTTATAATGGAAACCCTCAAAATAGCATACTAGACCGTACTGCTCAGTGGAAACGGGGCATTAGACACCCAGTTCATTGGAGTAGTCTGGGTCCAGTGACCCTGTCCCCTTAACCCTGGTTTGGCGCTCCAATGCTTTCCTGATGAACTGCAATAAGTACATTGCAGGATTAAGACTGCCTCTATTGGCTGTCAATCAGACAGCCACTAGAGGCACTTCCGGGTGGTTAGATGACTTTTGATCGCCTGATGCTGGATGTCCTCAGGCTCTGAATGGGGACATCCAGTGTCAGTCAATTCCCCATAGGAAAGCATTGGAGCACCAAACCAGTGCTGAGGGACATCAGCGCTGGAATCAGGTAATTACAGTAAGGGTTTATTAACACTTACACTGCAGGGGTGCACAAGGCAGCTATAGTGCTAGGTATATAACTTTGTATTCCTAGCACTATAGTATCTCTTTAACTGTGTCCAGATACAGAAGATATAACAAAAGGAAGAGAGACAAAAAGGAGTTTATGGCTGTTTTGGCCTAATGGTTACAATTTTCCAGTTCTGCACTAACTCTGTGTGTAGACAGTCGTAAAACCAGGGCCTGGAAACATACCTTGATTGCATTCTGTCACGGAACGCAGCAGCATCATCTAGCAGAAACTAAAGGTATACATTCATGGTGTGTAGTCATTAGAGACACACCCAATTCTCTCCTAACTAGCTAGAAACGCACCCAGATCCAGCACAAAGAATCACCTTCGACCTAGTGGGGATTATTCATTAAACAGTGACTTACCGTGAATTGAACGCTTGTCTAATTGCAGTTCATCTTTGCGACATCAGTATTAACCATAAATAGATCTGTGTCTGCCTATTAGGAGTAAAAGGGTTACTCCAAGAAACATGACCACTTCAGTGTTTTGAAATGTTCATGGTGAAAGAACCATGTATGTACTGCGTTTCAGCTCTCCCAAAGCCAGATGCATATTCACCACGATTGTTTCAGACACACTACCCAACAATAGCCAAGTATGTAGCAAAATAGTTTGTGTCCTTACCAGGGAATGGTGCCAGCCTGCCAGGGAATGTATGGCACCATAATCACTAAAGCGCGCATTTTGCTGGCAAAACGCTTGCTAATGTATGGCTTTTAATTTCATACTTTTTAAATATTTAGTCAATTACTCTTTGGTATGGAGGTCTAAGTAGAATATTGAGTGACGTGGAGAGCAGGAGAAGCATCCTATGGGTGGTTCTCCTATTCTGTCACAGAATTACTTTCCCAGCAATCATTTCTCAAGCTTGCAGGATGAGTATAAGGCACGGTCACAAGTAGAGATGTCGCGAACTGTCCACCGGTAACATATACGATTTCCGGTCCGCCCCCTATTCGTCATCATTGAGTAAACTTTGACCTGGAACCTCACAGTCAGCAGACACATTCCAGCCAATCAGCAGCAGACCCTCCCTCCCAGGAAGTGTCTGCTGACTGTGAGGTTCCGGGTCAAAGTTTACTCAATGATGACGAATAGGGGGCGGACCAGAAATCGTATATGTTCGCCCAACGCGAACACGCTATTGTTCGCCGGCGAGCAGTTCGCGACATCTCTAGTCACAAACCATCAAATCTCAAGCTGCATGAATTTTTGTGTCAAGAGTGGCTTAAGGTCACCCAAAAGTTATTCTATCAAATATTAATTTATAGTTTCTTCCTAAATTTAAAGATTAGTTTTGCGTTGTTTAACAATTAATATAAATTTGTTTTCTTTGCATTATTCAAGTCTGCAAACACTGCATTGTTTTTGTTATTTTCTGCTACTAAATGCTCAATATGTTTTCAGGAGTTTATAGATTACAACACAAATGTTAATTTTACTCAAGTACATACCTATAAATAGAAAAACCAGGGAAACTGATAAATGTGTAGTGGTCTCTTGATTTTTTCCAGAGCTGTACAGTAGAGATTTAGCAGACTTTAATGGATCACTATAGTGTCTGGAAAATAAACCCGTTTTCCTGACACTATGTCATCCTTGGGGGGCCCTCACCCTCAGGGTCCCCATCCCGTGGCGCTGAAGGTGTTAAAACCCCTTCAGCAGCTTACCTTTATCCAGCACCAGGCTCCCTCGGTGCTGGTGACCTCTCCTCCCCCCGCCGACGTCAGCTCCTGAGTGGAACGGAATGCGCATGCGCGTCAAGAGCCGCGCACGCATTCTAACAGTCCATAGGAAAGCATTTCTCAATGCTTTCCTATGGACGTTCTGCACTCTGGATGTAAATTTAGCATTCAGCATCGCAGAAGTGCCTCCAGCGGCTGTCAGGAAGACAGCCACTAGAGGTTAGATTAACCCTGCTATGTAAACATAGCAGTTTCTCTGAAACTGCTATGTTTACATGTGAAGGGTTTAAACCTGAGGGACCTGGCACCCAGACCACTTCATTGAGCTGAAGTGGTCTGGGTGACTATAGTGTCCCTTTAAAGGTACACTCCAAGCACCATAACCACTAGAGAACAAGCGCCCGCAGTGGAGGATACATTATGGTAGTTATGATGCCAGGAGTGCCCTGATTTGCACTAGCAGTGGGGCAGACCATGTGTAGTGCTCTTCCAAGCTGGTAAGCAGAGCATTACTATAGTAATCTGTGGCAATGCTCTGATCCACTCCAAGGAGCAATACAAACAGTCTGCACAGTTTACAGACCAAAAGCACCCTGGGCCCATCAGGCATTTGTCCAGTGGTCAGTATGCTGATATCAGCGAGTCGGATGACAGCAGGGCACCGCATCAGATCAGCTACCTGCAATCAGGGGAGGGCTGGCAGCCTTAGGCCTGGGGGGCAAAACTCAATGCTTTCCTATGGACGTTCAGTTTCTTCTCACTGTGATTTTCACAGTGAGAATCGCGGAAGCTCCTCTAGCAGCTCTCAATGAGACAGCCACCAGAGGCTGGATTAACCCTCAGTGAAACATAGCTGTTTCTCTGAAACTGCTATGTTTTCAGCTGCAGGGTTAAAACTAGAGGGACCTGGCACCCAGACCACTTCATTGAGCGTATGTGATCTGGGTGTCTGTAGTGGTCCTTTAAGTGTGTGTGCATACCGCGGTCGCGGGGTCGCAGCCCTGCAACCCCTGCGACCAGGTGCCCATGGGTCATGTGTACGCCACTGTCTGTGTGTGTGTAGGGATGCATTGTGTGTTTCTGTGTATGTATAGGGATGCATTGAGTGTGTGCGCGCGTAGTGTGAAAGAGCTCCCTGTCTTGCCCCCTGTTGCTCCACGTGGCACTCAGACTGCAAGACTTACCGGGGAGCTGACCGGACCGGAAGAGATAGAAGGGAGCTGACAGGAGCTGCAGGAAAGGTTAGTTACAGCTCACTGCCAGCCCCCCTCCTACACAGCCAATGCCACTGGACCACCAGGGAATGAGAGCCCCCCTCCCTGGCCAGCTAACAAGCAGGGAGGGGGGACGAAAAATAATATAAATAAAGTTTAAAATAATAATATAAAAAAAAGTTAAATGAATATTAAAATAATAATAAGAATTAAAAAATTAATAATAAAAATGCCCACCCCCCCACCAAGGCTCTGCATCACACACACACCGCATTCATACAAGCACACTGCATTATATATATATACACACACACACACACTGCAATCATTATATACACACACTTTTTTGGGGATATAATTTTATTTAGAAATTTACCAGTAGCTGCTGCATTTCCCACCCTAGTCTTATACTCGAGTCAATAAGTTTTCCCAGTTTTTTGGGGTAAAATTAGGGGTCTCGACTTATATTCGGGTCGACTTATACTCGAGTATATACGGTAAGTAAGTAGGGTAATGCAGGTCATGCCAGAAGATGAGCAGGTATGAGTAGTAATAAATGGTATGTAAACTGCCATTGTTAGTATTCAAAATAGGAAAAGAACATAATAAAATAATAATGATATGCTTCACAGGTACCATCATCTTCTGTTTGGCTTATATGTTAGCATGAGATTGTAGATAAACAGTGAAACCTTCAGGTAATTTGCCCATTTATTGGTTTGTCAAATGGGGAGCATACTAAGTAAGTATGATTATTAATGTTAAGCCACAACCTGTGTAGCTGCTGATCAAGGTTACTCCTTGTATAAGTAAATAAAGCAAAAAACAAAATGCTATTATGCCACTGAGTAGGAACTAAAATACGTAAAACATAGAAAACATATAACGTTGGTTATGTCAGTGTGGAAGAAAGAGACAGCCTGTGTCACAGCAACTACTAAATTGGGGTGTTTAGTGTTTAAACATCAAGTTCCGCTCATATAATACCACTGGGGGCCAGCTATAAGAAAAGCTGTTATACAGGGGAAAACTAAACATCTGCACAATAAAAAAACATATGGCCAATAACAGTGAGTCAGATAAGCTCCTCCGGCAAGATTTGTGGGTAAGTCAGCCAATTCCCAATGAGGGTGATGAGACTAGGACCGGAGGCCATGTAGTTTTACGCCTCTCATATTTTAGTAGTAGAGTACAGGTAAAGCCCGTCAATAAAAAATTAGAAGTTAGTATGGTCATTAAGCCGCCTGTGTGAGTTGATTTTATAAATAATTTAAGTTTTACGGTGTTATACTTGGCAACAGCAATAAAACATAAAAAGTAAAACAATAAAATAATAAAGGATAACAAGCGAACGTGTGTCGCCACCTCAGCAGGAACACACTGGTTAAATCATGTTGTTAGGACGAAATATAAGAATAGTACATCAGTGTGCATTTTTTAGTGTATGGAGTCAGATGTACTGTACGCTTGGGAGATAAGACATCGGGTTTATTACGTGGGGTACCAAGGTAGTGGCACACTGGCAGGTATATGCCGTCAGGAGATGGTCGTAACTGCCAGACAGTGCTACAGAGGGATTACAATAAGACATGAAAAAGGGGGGGGAATGGTGAAACTTAATATATTCTGGTATATGACGCAAGCGTGGCACTGTACTCCATGTCAGTTTGCTTACGGGATGTACATGGGCGAATGCCCAGAAACCTCTGTTGGAGTGAACTATTAGTGCGGGGAGTGTAAGAGTGCCCGACTAGCGGGGTGTGCTTAATGTTTGCGTAAGTACCCTGCGCTCTTCCCTTTCAAAACTACTAATGTAGTGTATCCCTCATCCGTGGTGCACTTAAATGTTGGGGGGGGGGGGGAAAGGGATTGCATGGTTGTGGGGCAACCAGTCTGATCGGGGCGTGGATTAATGCCCTGATATGTAATGAGGCCTCCTTTGCTGTAAGCTGATAATGCTGGTTAAGTGAACTAAGAGAAACATAAAGTAAACTAAATTAAACTAAACCGAATGGCAGACTAGATGTTGCTTCTGCCGTTGATCGTTTAGGTAGTGGCTAACACATAGGAGTCCAGTGTGGATGTTCTTGGGGCATACTCGGGGGCTCCTGCCGGGTTCCACATTTGTTGTTGCTTGGGGGTTGCAGCGCGATCAGGTTGGTGTAGAGTGTCGGCTGGTAGTCCTAAATCTTGCAGGAGCGTCTTGCTCTTGTGAGGTTCCTGAATGTATGTTGTGTCCCTGTGGAAGACTGCTAGTGCTCTGAAGGGGCGCCATCGATTTTGAATGTGATGGTGTTGCAGGAGAGTGGCGAGTGGTCGGAAAGAGGTCTGAGTAAAAGGTTATGTCCATTTCCTCAAAGTGGTAAGGGGACTGACCTTTGATGGTGGTCATTACGCTGTTCTGTCTTTCCCGCTTTGGAACTGGATTATTATATCTCTGGAGGCTGTGGCTGGTGCCTTGGCAGGTCGGGGCACTCGGAACATGCCGGTAAGCACTGCAGTGTTGATGGTTCTTGGCTTCAGTATGGCCGCCAATCGGTGCATGACAAACTGTGGCAAGTCCATGTCCGATACGGTCTCTGAAACACCCTGTAATTCTAAGTTGTTTCGCCGCTTTGCGTCTTCTTGGGCCACCATGCAGTTTTCAAAGGATCTTTGCTGCTGCTGTAATTCCTTCACCGCGTGCTGGAGTGAAGTGATTTGCTGGGTTCCCGTGAGGAAGGTATGCTCCAGCTTGCTTATTCTGCCTGTTAGACCCCGCAGGTCTTCTCGCAGTGTTGCCACGTCCACAGAGATCTTCCCATGGTGGTCTGCTAGTAAGTCTCTCAGGATCCCCGTGGTCACTGGCGCGAGAATGCAGGTTGGTGTGGCAGGTGCGGAATCGAAGCGGGCGTAGTGCTCAGTTCAGTTTCGCAAATCAGGTCGTCATAAAAGTTGGAGCAGTTTCCCGCGTGGGACGCCATTGTGGGTCCATATGCGCCTTGGGCCTGCCGCCACAGATCCCCTACTGTCAGTCCCGATTTGGGGTTGTCCGACCGTTATTTTTTCGTTAGGCGCCCAATTGTGTCCGCTAGAGCCGAAGGGGTTCCTACCTGCTCTGTCTAGGTCGGTTTTTGAGTAAAATGTGGGTTTTACAGGGCTCTTAGGCTTGGAGCTCTGTTATCATGAGACCGGTTGCTTCTGCTGCTTGGCCCCGCCCCGAGATGCCTGTTTTAACAGATAATTGGATTGCATGTGAATGTTTGTGCTAATCTAGTGGGAAAAAATTAAATTGAATAGTCGAGTAGGGTATATGCATTTTACACAGTTGAAGCAAATTTGGTTGCATATCTCCTTTTAAAAGTGTTTATTCCCTACACAGGCAAAATAAATATATAAAAATCTCAAGCTATGCTTATATAGAGTTGGGAATGTTACCAAATCATCACTTTCTTTCCATTTCGGTTTATTATTATTATTATTGCCATTTATATAGCGCCAACAGATTCCGTAGCGTTTACATTTCAATACAATTTGGTATTTAGTGAATAAACCTAAAGAGCCCTCTGACAAGGTTATTTACTAATGTGATAATTCAAAGTGAATTTTAAATTTAAAGGAGCACTATAGTGCCAGGAAAATTAACTTGTTTTTCTGGCACTATAGGGTTATTAGGTCCCCCCTCCCACTGGACTTAAGGGGTTAAAACCCCTTAAGCCACTTACCTTAATCCAGTGCCGACATCAGTTCCGAATGCGCATGTGCGGACAGAGCCTTGGGCACATTCAAACCGCCCATAGGAAAGCATCTCAATGCTTTCCTATGGATGGCAGCGTGTCCGCAATGCATCATGGAAGCGCCTCTAGTGGCTGTCAGAGAGATAGCAACTAGAGGCTGGATTAACCCTCACTGGAAACATAGCAGTTTCTCATTGAGCTGAAGTGATCTGGGTGCCTATAGTGGTCCTTTAAGGACAGAGGTGCCAAATTGAAACATAACTGATTTACAGAATGTGTCCAGTGCGGCTATTATGATCAGAAATTCTCACTTTAGTGACTAACCCTGAGAGTATCTGGTGGCTGTAGGTCTAAATCACATGACATAAGGGGATACTCAATACTTCCACTGGAAACAGCACCGAGCTGCAATAAAAACAGGTAAACAGAGCTGCTTTTTCACAGTTTACATGGAATCACGTAATACAATCTACCAAGATCCAACTAGTATGTCAGACTCAGCCATCAAATAAACCCTCCTACAAGTGTCATCTGTTCGTGCTAACTTCCAGGAACAGCCCCAGTCCCACACTTTAAGCCACGTATGTGTAGAACGTTTCCCGGTAGAACGCCGAGCACCTCAACATTCTACTTCCTCTCTGTGTAGCGCCCGGCGCTCGTGGTGACGTCACCAGACAGAGCTCGCCCCTCCGGCTGCGGCTCCAATCACACACTCGCTGGGAGAGGATGGGGTTGTCAGAGGCCAGGAGCTGGCCAGACTCCCCAGGCTGGGAACTATACTGACTGACAACATGACAGCACGCAGAAGGTAAGATCCGACATGGCACCACACACCCAGGGTCCCTGTGTGCTAACAGGAACAGCTGGGGCCAGTCCTGAGGCTGTGACTGCATGCTGATTGGTACCCGACACAAGGTAGTTTGCCATTTACTGACCCAGTCGGTGTTTTACACAATGCAGGGCATTAGGCATGACATGCTGCTCACAGACCCTTACTGGGTCCTAGACACTATCAGTACTCTGGGATGAACCGTCCGCCTCTCTGTAGTCTGTTTGGGTATATAGTACATAAGTGTCTGTAACAAAATAAGTAAGATTCTCAAAGGTGCGTTTTATCCCCCCTCCCCCAACCCAAGTTTATGAAAAACTAGAATTTCGTTTCAGCAGCTTTAATATACATTCCTGAAAATGTGCTCCCCTTCATAGCTCTGAGATGGGACCAGTTCTGCTACAAATTGTTCCAGAAAAAAGTCCTTAGACATAACCAAATCCTTTACCAGCAAGCTGACTTACTGTTTAATTCGGGACTAATTTGGTCAACATTGTACAGCGCTACGGAATTTGATGGCTCTATATAAATAATAAACAATCAGAGTGTCTGTGTGACTCACTCTACTGCCCATGGTGTGAGGAAGTTGGGGCTCCATTCCACTAGGGCGGTTTGGTTGTGCTAGATAGCCTAGTCTTAGATAAATTTTATTTATTTCTAAAATATTTTACCAGGAAGGATACATTGAGATTTCTCTTGTTTTCAAGTATGTCCCTGGTTCACAAAACATTGCATTCATACGATAGGGTACACTAAATCTGAATTTTTTTAATATTTGTTTTTGGACTTTTTATTTTATTTAACAGTCACTGAATTCTTTAGTAAATTCCAGAATTTAAGTGTTGCGTTCATTTAAAGGGACTCTCCATTGCCAGGAAAACAATCAGTTTTCCTGGCACTGCAGGTCCCCTCTCTCTTCCACCACCCATCCCCGGTTGCTGAAGGGGTAAAAACCCCTTCAGTGACTTACTTGAGACCACCGCCGATGTCCCTCAGCGGTGGTTTCGGTCGCCGCGGCTCCTCCCCTTCATCATGTCAATGAGTAAAGTCACTTTAAAGAGGACTTTCTAAGCACCATAGTCATTATTAATAATTGCGCATGCGTGTCAATGCCGCGCATGCGCTTTAGAGCTCTCCATAGGAAAGCATTGAAAATGCTTTTCAGTGCTTTCTTATGGGGAATTGAGCGACGCTGGAGGTCCTCACACAAACCTGTGCTATGGACCAGGAAGTGCCCTCTAGTGGCTGTCTGGTAGACAGCCACTAGAGGAGGAGTTAACCCTGCAAGGTAATTATTGCAGTTTATGAAAACTGCAATAATTACACTTGCAGGATTAAGGGTAGTGGGAATTGGCACCCAGACCACTCCAATGGGCAGAAGTGGTCTGGGTGCCTGGAGTGTCCCTTTAAGGATTTTGCCAAAAAATTTTTTATTTTTATACTGGACATTATACGAGTAGTCTTTTTTTGTTTCCATATTTAGTGCCAAACCATTTTGAGCTGAAATGTTGAAGCACCAAAAGCCAGACCTTTCACATGATGCTCAGATAATGCAAGAGTTTTACTTATGTTATCCCTTTGAATACCGGTTCCTACCTTGTTATGTGAGCATCAAATGATGGGCTGGATTTTAAAATGGTGCCCACAGACTCAATGCACCATATCTACTGCAATTATTAATAATGACTATGGTGCTTAGAAAGTCCTCTTTAAAGTGACTTTACTCATTGACAATTACTTATAACTTAAAGTGACACTATAGGTACCCAGACCACTTCAGCTCATTGATGGAGGGGAAGCTATAATTCCAGGAAAATTAGTTTGTTTTCCTTGCACTATAGTTTCCCTTTAACCTTTTTTTTTCATGTAATGCTCTGATTTCCTTTGAATATAGGTATTGATGTCACGATCTAGTTCAGTTCAGGCATAGTAGTGGATGAGGAGAAACACAAGCATTCTCTCCATCGATATTTGATATTTTATTCACTTCAGCCTTTTTTAGTAAACAGTTTTTTTTTCATAGAAAATGCAGTGTTTGCGTTACCGCCTAGGGATACCTCGTCTGGCCACTCCAGATGGCTGCTAGTATTTCCTGAGGCATTTGCCATGAGTGCACATTTGGTACCCCGATGCCCCTCTTTAAAGAGCATTGGATTGGGCAACCATGGAGAAGTTCATGCCTTTATCTTAACATTGTGGGAGGCAGAGATGAAAGCACTGTTAAAGGACCACTATAGTGCCAGGAAAACAAACTTGTTTTAATAGCACTATAGGGACTTTATGTCCCCCCCACCCTCATGGCCCCCCTCCCACCAGGCTGAAGGCGTTAAATGCTTACCTTTCTACTGCGCCGGGCTCCCTCGGTGCTGGGGAACTCTCCTCCCTCTCCTGACGTCAGCTTTGAATGCGCATATGCGGCAAGAGCCGCGCGCGCATTCAAACAGTCCATAGGAAAGCATTTCTCAATGCTTTCCTATGGACGTCAGCGTTTTCTCACTGTGATTTTCACAGTGAGATGCGTGGAAGCGCCTCTAGCGGCTGTCAGTGAGACAGCCACTAGAGGCTGGATTAACCCTAAAGTAAACATAACAGTTTCTCTGCTATGTTTACAGCTGCAAGGTTAACACTAGATGGACCTGGCACCCAGACCACTTCATTAAGCCTTTTTTTCTTTTATTTCGTAAACATTTTATATATAATCTTTTTTTTTTTTTAAAGGATACACCTATGTATTCTTGATCATGAAATATAATATTGTAGAATACACATTAGTAAACTTTACATTTTATTTATTACTAGAATACATTTTTATGTGCTTTTTTGAAAGCCATAAATGTTTTTTTTCTTCTACAAAAATAGAATGGAAAGAAATGCTTTAAAGGAGCACTATAGGGTCAGGAACACAAACATATATTTCTGACCCTATAGTGTTAAAACCACCATTTAGCCCCCTCTTGCCTCCCTAAACCTAGTAAAATCGTGCTTGTATTCAAGCCTGAAGCTGCTGGTTTTGTCCCTGTTTGCCTCAGAACAGCAAGCTGCCTGCTGACATAATCAGAAGTGTTGTTCTGAGCCAATCACAATGCTTCCCCATAGGATTGGCTGAGACTGTGAAGGAGGCAGATCAGGGGCAGAGCTAGCACATGTCAAACGCAGTCCTGGCCAATCAGCATCTCCTCATAGAGATTAATTGAATCAGTGAATCTGTATGTATAACATTCAGTGTCTGCATGCAGAAGGAGGAGATTCTGAATGTTGTGATTCAAACTAGGCAAGACTGAAACAGGAAGCAGCTCTAGAAGCCATCTGAGGAGTGACCAGTGAAGTTATCACTAGGCTGTTATGTAAACACTGCATTTTCTCTGAAAAGACAGTGTTTACAGCAAAAAGCATGAAGCGAATGATTCTATTAAAACAGAATAAATGCAATAAGCTGTAGTTGTTCTGGTGACTATAGTGTCCCTTTAACTACTTTCAGTTTCCTCTACTTTGAATACCACCAGAGAGACAAAAAAATGTTCTCAACGATTTCACAGTTGAGTTAATGTTTATGTTCTGCACAACTAAAACATCTACCCACCCCACCCTCCAATGCAAACCGGAAAAATAAATAAATCATAGTTTAAAATTGTAAATATTGTTGCTGTTTGCTCATGAGAATTAAAGGGACACTCCCAGCTTGATACTAAAATATTTTAATAAAATAAATGCCTCTGACATTTGTGTGGCGACAGAGCCTTGAGGAACACGAGGTCAATAACTTATTTAAACTGGAGACTCCAGGGTCAGTATTTAGGCGCAATATGCAATCAGGCATTCGATTATGTGACAGGGGAGTTACAACAAAGTAACTATTTAACTGCGTTTTCTTGTTTCAGCACTATGATGCTAGAGACACATTGTGTTTCTTATAAGTTGCAATTATTCTGTTCTGTATGCATTAATTGGAGCAGAGGTGAAGTTAGTTGCAACGTTTAAAACCAGAGAGACTTGCAATTTGAGTCAGCTCTCGTTCTCAGTCGGCTATTGGGGTTGCGTGTCTCAGCAGTAAGTGCCTCTGTGGCAACCCGGCACCAATCGTTAATAACCTGTGTGCTGCGGTGCCGTATATGTGGATCCTTCAGACCTAGGTCTCACCAGGTGTCCCTATCTAGGTTTGGGTGCTTATGACTCACTGAGTGTGTGCGGTCATAGAGGTGGGATGAACATGTGTCTCTCTTTCCCCTTTTTAATTTTCTTTTTTTTCTTTTTATACATAAGTAAAGTAGGGACTGGACTGTCTTTCATATGGGAGTGTGATCTTTGGCAATGAATAAACAATATTTTAATGTAACGCTCCTTTCACCACGTTTTGAAAGGATGTTTTTTTAAATGATGTATGCTGATCAGGAAGAGCTCTGATATCACTGCTCCCTCGTCGCCTGCCTGGGCCAGCCAGGTACCAAGACCACTTCAAAAGTGGAAGTGGTTATGTTGCTTGGAATGACCAGTTTTGATCTTTTATCATGCCTTATTGGGCACTATTAACCTGCCCCCCTTATTTAGTAAAACAAAAATATCCTTAAATGTACCTTGAGTCCAGCGCCACCCCAACTGTCGCGCCTCATCATCCACGATCCAATCTGCTTCCATGGACATAACATTTTTAGCACAAAGCTTACATCTCGTGCCCATGGCGCAATTAGCCCCGGCACAAAACTTTGCTCTGTATGTGCAGGGTTTCAAGCAGAAACATTGCACGTAGAGATTCTTACCACCATGGT